CCCCCCCAGTTCAAACAAGTATTTTAAATGGACAGTAAACATTGACAATGTGATATAATTTGTATTTACTAACCAAGTTGAATGTGTCTCTATTACATAATAAGCTTCCAGTTCCATCTTGTTTTAATTTGTGAATCTTTGTTTCTCTTTGCATTAATCATTCTCCTGAGGTAAATTGTCCATAAGACCAGTGATTCCATCGGCAAATTATCCAGAAAATGCTATCAGTGCACACTGTGACATTTGTGCCACTGGTGTATTTGCTGCTATTGCAGTAGCCTAATTATCCTGGCAGCAGTCTCTTCTGGCCAGCATTGTTCCCTTTGTTTTGTTTTTTTCAGGGCACCGTGGCTCTAACCTTTATGGTGTCCAAACACCTCACAACAGATCTCCTATTTATTATTGATTCTCTTCCTTCCCTCCTCTTTCTTTTTTTCTTTTTCTTTTTCCTCTTTTCACTTTCCTTTTTTGACTGGCAGTATCATCCAGACAAACAGAGCACAGATGTGCCAGCAGGAGAAGCAGAGGCACGCATGCAGAGGTTCATCGAAATTGATCGAGCATGGAAAATTCTAGGAAATGAAGAGACAAAAAAAGAGTATGACCTGCAGCGGCGTGGTAGGTTCCTACCGAGGAGTGCTGTAGTAGCAGCAGCAGCTCTCAATGGGTCGAAAGTGTGGGAATAGTTTAGTTTCTGAAATATTATTTGTTCAACCAAAACATTTCATTTGCTTCTATCTTGCTTTCATATTTAGATTTCATATTTATACTGATTGCCACATCTGCATTAGGCAGTTAAAAACATTAAGTTATTTTCGACAAAGCGTTAGGTGGTAACTGTTCTAAATGCATGTAGCATTTAGATAACAATGACTTCATTTAGCCATTCTTCATTTGACAGTATTTAAAGCATTTTCACTAAATGTTCTTAATTACTGGAGTCACGCCCTTTGCTACATTCCACTGTTACATTTTAAATTAGTTTGAGTAATTTATGTCAAAGGTATCCTGCAGCATATGGTTTTATGAACACTTTGCAATAATTAAACTGTATTCTTTCTATCACCTTTTACAAATCAAGTGCTGTCCTAGGATATATATTTTTTTCATAAGGCACGTCTGATGCCAGTTAGTTTTCAGCAAGCAAGTTATAACCACAATTCATTTAACCAGGCAGTTCCAGCATACCTTTTTGTATATCTCTTGAAATACAGCTTTGTAAAACAGTGACAGGCTGTTGTGAAAAAGAAAGGGGGAAATGTAGGTCAGATCTGTCACACATGGGCTACCATTACATGACGTGATAGGCTGTCTTTCTGCTCTGGCCTCAGGATAGGAGTCCCTCAGCCTTCCATTAGAACCTTCAATAAATGTATATCCACCCTCCATGCTAATGGGGGGAGTCAATAATAGTGTATTGCCTGTAGGGAAAACACTCAGTTGCACTCTGAAGTAACACACTCCGGTTCAGCATTGACGTGTAGCTACCACCACTTTTTAGTGTGTCTGATAAAAGACACACTGTCTCTGCAGCATGTTATTGAATTCCCTTCCATTGTACGTTGGCACACCATCAAACCTTTTTAACTTCCCTGCTGTGAAGGTTGCCACAATTTTATTTGAGAAACAAAGGCTTAGTCAGCGTGGCTGGCAGATACATATAATATACTGTGTAGACAAGCTTATTTTTGTTCATTAATTATTTGAAAATGTGCAATGGACAAAATAATTTTTGATCTAATCGTATGGCTTAAAGCCTAAGTAAAAAATTAGCGCTTGTTAGGCAAAAGAAGAAGCAGCTCTGCTTTTAAAGGGGGAAAAAGCCTCCCTTTTGTAACAACTGATGGAAATTATTTCATTCAAACGTATTACATAATTACTTTTGAAATAAAAGTATAATCAATTGTGTAGAATAAAGATTTTATTATTTATTTAGTAAAGTTTTCCTAGACTTAAATTTTTAAATATTTAAAACTTATCCAGATTTATTTGATTTGGTTGAACATGGCCACTGACGTGCATTTCTTCTCGTTCTGAGAGGTTTGACAGTTTTGATGGAAAGAAGTTATTCAATAGTAATCTACATGCTAGGCCTTGCTGCAATCACAGGAATGGCAACATGTATGCCTAGGATGTTTTGTTTTAGCTAAATCTGATGTATTAACTGTTTCCTTCATTGGGATGTTTCTGCCATTTGAAGTGATTAAACTATCGGAATGTAGTCAGCATTATCTCCAAGCTGGGATTCCTGACTTACTGCTTTCTCACTATCCTGAAAATGTGTAGTTAGAAAGTGATTACAGGAACAGAGATTGGCACTGAATATAAAAGAATAACAAGCCAGTAATCCCAATTAGGATATAACACAAAACCAACTATAGTGAGCGGCTTCTTTATTTAAATCTTGCCTCAACCACCAGAAACAATTGGAACACAACTCCTAAGCTTGTTGAACCAAGAAAAACTAATTGGGCAGCATTTATTAGTTTATGAATAGACACATTTATGAAGATTTCTGGCATATGTTCTGTTAATGGGATTTATTTTATTTTTATTTCTTCAATGTATAGCAAAAATGTTAAAAAGCACAGCGACATCAGCCATGGTCAGTCCAACTTATCAAGAGTAAATGCTTATTTACTTTGTTTGCAATATTGAATATAGGTAGGTCTCAATTTACAACTTGTTGCTTAGCAACTGTTTGAAGTTAAAATGACACACACACCCCATGTACTTCTACACAGCTGCCTTCCCCCAATCACATGATTGCATTTTAAACACTTAGTAACCAGTCAGTATTTGCGGCCATTTGCACCATCCCATGGTTCCATGACCACAGTTTATGTGATTTTTTTTTTGTCGGAAACCAGTGTTTACTTCTGATTTCTGACAAAAAAAACCATTAGAGATAATGGGTTCACTTAATGACCATCTGATTCACTTAATGACTGCTGCAAAAAAGTGTAAAATCAGGTCACATTATGACCCACTTAACAACAGGCATGACTTACAACCAGGATTCCAGACTCAATTCCATTCGGAAGTTGAGGACTATCTGCACTTAATTGTTTTGCTAAGTACATCTACAGAAGCAGCAAATGAAGCTCCAAGAAAATAGTTATAGGGATTCAACTATTTCTTAGAAACTATTTAATAAAAATATACTGAAAGTTTCAGCAAGAAGTTTCAAACATTTAATTAAGTGTCACAATAATTTTGTTAGAGCTTATTTGCTGCCTCTTTAAGTCACAATTTATATACATTGCCAAATTTTCTCAGGAGATATGTAACTCTGACTCTTATTCATCTTTTGTTAAAATGTTGTTTCATTGATTTGTGAGGCATACATTTAAATCAAATTACTTCTACAGTAAAATGTAAATTTAAGATTATATAAGTTTTATTAGGTTGCTTGCTTGCAGTTCTATGTATATATAAAATCTAATTATTTCTGCTCACAAATGATTCACATGGTCTTTTTACTGGACTTATGTTTGCTAACTTCTCTTTTCTAAAGTTTTTCATTAATTTTTAAAATGTGTGTTCATCTCAGTTTCGCCAATGTACTAGTGTTCCAACATTTTTACATTAAGACTGTCTTTTCATATTCTACTAAAGATGGTCAAATAGTTCAGATGAACATTTTAATTACAACTTTGCTGTGATTTAAAAGTGACCATTTTGAATGCCCATGAAAACCAGCCATGGGTGCAGGAATGTTATAATTGCTACCACTGGGGAATAATGGAGCTTCATCTTGGGATTATTAATTGTGGTATTCCTTTTCTTTGTTTTCACTTTTGTTTGGTTTTTGTTTTATGTTTTTCTTTTTCTCCTACATATTTGTTGGATTGTTAACAATGTTAATTGTTTAATCAAATTTTACGATAGGAAATGTACACTCGTCAGAGTTGTTAATTGGTGGCTTAAAAACCTTGCAAATTAAATAACAAATAACAAAACAAGCAAACTCATCAAATTTGCAGACGACACCAAGCTGGCAGGAATAGCCAACACTCCAGAAGATAGGCTTAAAATCTGTGTCAAGAAAGATCTTGACACACTTGACCATTGGGTGCTATCTAACAAAATGAAATTCAGTTGTAAAACAAGTAAAGTTCTACATTTAGGCAAGAATCAAATGCACAGGTACAGTATATGTGGTACCTTGCTCAATAGTCGTAATTGTAAGAGGGATCTCGGAGTCCTAGTGGACAACCATTTAAATATGAGCCAGAAGTGTGCAGCAGCTGCCAAAAAAGTCAACACAGTTCTAGGCTAACAGAGAGATAGAATCAAGATCACATGAAGTGTTTATAATGCCTTGGTAAGGTCACACTTGGAATATTGCATTCAGTTTTGGTTGCCATGATGTAAAAAAGAGGTTGAGACTCTAGAAAGAGTGCAGAGAAGAGCAACAAAGATGATTAGGGACTGGAGGCTAAAATATATGAAAAATGGTTGCAGGAATTGGGTATGTCTAGTCTAATGAAAAGAAGAACTAGGGGAGACATGATAGCAGTGTTCCAATATCTCAGGGGCTGCCACAAAGAAGAGGGAGTCAAGCTATTCTCCAAAGCATCTGAGGGCAGGACAAGAAGCAATGGATGGAAACTAATCAAGGAGAGAACCAACCTAGAATTAAGGAGAACTTTCCTGACAAAACAATTAATCAGTGGAACAAATTGCCTCCAGAAGTTGTGAATGCTCCAACACTGGAAGTTTTTTAAAAGATGTTGGATAACTATTTGTCTGAAGTGGTGTAGGATTTCCTGCCTAAGCAGAGGGTTGGCCTAGAAGACCTCCAAGGTCCCTTCCAACTCTGTTTTTCTATTCTATTCTAAGTATCAATTTCATACTCTGTTTCTTTAAGAACCCTATGGTGAATATAAGCAAAGAGTGGTGCAAAGAGCCATGGAAAGATACATGCTCGGCATTACAAGACAAGATAGAAAGACCTGCACAGGGATTAGAGAACAAACAAAAGAGAGTAAAGGAATGGAAATGGGCTGGTCATCAAAACAAGAACTGATTGCAAGTGGACCATGGCAGGCATAGAATGGATTCCACTTGATAATAAGCATCCATAACAGACCTAAAACAGGATAGATCACTGACATCAGCAGGTATTATGGGCCGAATTGGGAAAAGAAAACTCAAGACCGTATTGGTTGGAAACAAACAGAAGCGGCTTTCATCCTGCAGTGGACAGACAAATGGCTAAAATGATGATGGTGGTGAATATAATCTAGACCAAGTAATTCATTTTTCATGTCATTAAGATTTACAATTTATCTTCTGTCACTCCTTTGCTTCTGTTCTATAGGCTAATTTGGATACATGGATAGTCCTTCATTTTTTAAAAGAATCTCAGTAGCCTTCTGTAGCTGAATTTCACATTGTAATGTTTATGGGAATTGAAAGTTTGTAAACATCATTAGATGCATTCATTGTATTTTCCTTCTTGTCTATTTATTTTCCTATGCTTTATGCATCTTTTTGCTCTAATGAAAATATCTGAAAGCCATCTTCTTAAACCTTCCCTGATTATCTTTATTAACTATACAAACATCCTGTTACATATTCTCCATCTTAGATTTAAGGCAAGTTTCTATAATGCTGGCTTTGAATAATAATGGGATTTTCTTGAGAGACTTTATCTTCTTTATTTTCCTTTTCACCTTCTTCAATATCTTAAATATTGGGAAGCTTGGACTTTTAAACTTATATATGGTTGTGTTGTTGGGAACTTTTTAAATATATAATTACATATATACATCCAAGTATCATAGTAAAGCATGATAATATATATTTTAGTAAAGTGAATCAGAGCAGTAGCATTTACAGTACAACTCAAAAATACTAGGAACTATTTAGGATTATATCTAGGATAATCTCACTTTTTGCTATCAGAGCTAATTTTTCTAAGGCATGATCATTTAACATATTGAAAGCATAAGGACGTGTGTTGTTTTCTTCTGTGAAAGAGTTTAACATAGTGACTCTTCTGTGAAGGACACTCTTAATTTGATTATTGATCTGAAGATTCATCACAGAATTATTGAGTTGGGGATAGATTATGATATGCTCATATTCAAAATTTATTTTATGGTCTACTATTGATACCTGAAAGAATATGGACCAGTAAAAAGTTTATTGCACTTTCTTCAGTATTAGACATACAGAATAGTTCCATTTGCAATACTCTCTTATCTTTCTCCACAGACACATGCAATCCTGGTAAAGCTTTACTGAACTTTGCTTCTAACAGTGATTTAGTATTTACTTATAAAATTATGACTGCATTATTTTTCATCCATAGGAGAGTCCTCAGGGAAATTACAGTTTAGAAGTTAAAGAAAAAATATTAGTAGATTAGAAGTAGGAAGAAGCAGATCACAATTGTTGTATTTAAAATTATATAATAACCAATGAAGAACTAATATTTTAATGCTTTCCAAAAACCTAATAAAAGATTCTGTCTTATTTTTGTTGGAGGAAAACACCTCAGGTATTAGGATACACAGAAAAGTCTTCAAAGGAAATCTTAAATTAAGGGTGATTTCCTATGGAAGGAAGCAGTCTTTTAGGCATTTCATTTAGGTTTTTTTGTCAAGAAGCACCATTTATTATCCAACAAAGACAATATATAAGCCGCTGTCTCATTCATCTTCTAAGAAATTCTGTCAAATGTGTGTAACAAAGTAAGACACTGGGCTTGTCCCCTAGAAAGCCAACAACTTGGGTTCATGACCTGAGTGCTGCACAACAGGGTTACTCACCCCAGCTGCTGCCAACCTAGCAGTTCAAAGGCACGCAAATGCAAGTAGATAAATAGGTGCCACTTTTCCATATTTTCATACTGGCCATATATGACGGAACCATCTCTTAGACAATGCAGGCTCCCTTGGCTGATAATCAGAGATAAGCATTCCCCCTCTTGAGTCAGTCATGACAGTATGGGGGAAACCTTTAAACCTTATTGTATACTCTTAGTGTATAATCTACACTATATTCCATAGTATACAATGGGTTTCCTAATCTGTTCTAATTTTATTTTGTTTTGTGTTTTGTTTTTTTTTGTTTTTGCCATTCCTAGCCAACTTCAGTTTCTCAATTACTTGTGTGCCAGGAGAAAGAATGTGCAGTTTGTTATCACAAATCTGTCAGCTTGGACATTGGAAATTCTGACAATTCCCTTTCCCCTGATGCTATTGTTATCCTAGCCTTGTTTTTATGTTCTTGGTGTTCCTAAAGTTGCCAGCATGATGGATGTGGTAGTGGCTAGTGCCTTGGGCTTCTAATATGAATACTAGTGTTCTGGACTGCTTTGTAAGCTCTCCAGTGTATTCTGACAATTCACTCTGCTCTAACTGAAAGCCAAACCAGTCCTAGGCCATCTCCAACAGCCTGCAATCTGGGCCTCTTGATTGTGAGCACACTGAGCTGCTCTCCATTATTAATGTTCTGGATTGTTTGACAGAGGCTTTGCCAATATATTCTGAAGTGGTCCATTACTGTCTACATTCCTTGCCATGAGTATTTCCTTATTTCAGTTACCAATGTACTTCTTATGTGTTTTTTTTCTTTTTCCTTAAGCTTCCCATCGCCATTATGAACTCTTTTAACAGCTAAGGCTTGTTGAAAGGGCCAGCTTGTAAGACCTTCAAGGGTGGGGCTTGTACAGGTAGAAGATGCAGAATGCATACATTTATGTTGTTATCACATATTAGAGACAGAACATAGTTTGCAGCCATCTCATTTCCACCCTCATCTCTTTTTTTTTAAATGATTTATTTCTTGTTATCGGGAAGGAAAAACTTGGGAGTAAAGCCTAAAGAATAGGCTTTTTAGCAGTAAGCTTTGTTCTAAATGACCATGGATGGAACCATTTTTAAAAGTATAACATTTGAAAAGTTATATATCACATTAAACAACTAATACAATTATAATGAAGAACTGATATCATTCTAAAGAACAAAATGATTTCAAAAAGAAAATACTTGCCTTAACAAGCTCCAATGAAAACCTAAATTGTAATATTTCTTCTTGAACTATTACTAAAGTAGATTAGTCAATAACTAAAAGAAAATGGTTCATTTTCGTTTCTCTCTTTCAGTAGCAGCAAAATTTTAGATGTAAATGGGTTAACTTTGTTTTAATTGTATCTGTTTAATTTATTGACGGTGTGCGGAATTGGTTAGGTCAGAGAGGTTTTATTGATCCAGTAATTATCTCTAACTTGTCTGATTTGTTTTAATTGCCTTCATTAAGATTAATTTAGATGGAACTTGTTCCCTGGGGATCTGTAGTGTAGATTTCAGGTAAAATTAGAATCACAATTTAAGGTTGCAAAAAGGAAAAAGAGACCATAGCCCAACTTGATACTGGTTAATCGGCCGCTAATTAATGAATCGTGTGGGGGAGTAATCATGCTTTAATATTAAAGTGCTAATTAGAATTTTTTTCACTAATACATGAGGGCAGTTAAAATAAGTGTTTAATTTCACTACCAATACATTATTCATAGTTAACTATTGTGGTAGCAGATTGGATACGCCAAAATGGAGAACATCAGTATAACATTTGTTCTAGAATATTTTTTATATTCAGTCAGGAGGTTCATGTATGTTTTTGATTAAATGTGAATCAATTTCTTGTGGAATGCATATACAGTAAAACTTAATAAAACCTTTAGGGTTGTTCAGCAGTATGCCTTCAAATTGAATGTTCTAATTCAATTTCTTCCTTATATTGATGTGGATTCTAAGTTCGATGTCCCTTTCCATATATTTTTTATCTCTAAACTTTTAAAATATTATATCCATTTGATATTCTATTAATACATCTTGTACCTTTATTATATCTATATTTAAATATTCATTAAACTCTGTAACATATTAATATTATGCAGCATATCTTACTGAATAATTGTTATTAATTTGAGAAAGCAAGGAATCCCAATACTTAAACTAAGATTTCACTTAAAAAATATGAAATTGTAATTACATATGCAAAGCAGTGAATGATAAAGTTGCATCTTCTATAGAGACTACTCTATTATCCTGTCAGAAAACCATTATTATACTGTAAATCTCAAATAATTTGTTAATAGATTTTCCAGTGTTAATGATACTATGAGTTAATTATCTAGCTACTACCCCATTTTTCACTTTGCGTTTGCATATTATATAGTGCTTTGTGTGCTGTTAATCTTAATTGTGATTATTTTATCTTATTAATATCACATACTATTATTGTATTAACCAACCTGTTTTTTATTATATATGTCTAAACTCCATCAGATGTATTTGTATGTGTGTATGTATACACCCCCTAAAGCACATTTGCACCTATTAGCACATACTGTCCTTTCTGAAACATAAGAAATATTTTGTATAAATATGAAAGATAAACTATAATACTCTCTGTAGATATTTTTATTGCACTGGAAAGAACATGTTGCAGTTTAAACCTATTTTGGATCGGACCAATAATTTCCACAAAGTTGTATGGTTTTTCTTGTAGTAGGAAATATAGAGATAGTAATAGCAGATGTCTTAACTTCAACCAGAATTCACATTGGATTACTTGAGGAGCAGGGCCTCTGGAAGCCATCAAAGCTTCTCAAATGCTAACTGCCCAGACTCATGTCAAATAAAGGATTCAGGTGGACACATTTCCAAGATGGGACACACACACACACACGACATCCAAGAGTGAGACGAATAGAAATTCTGTTTTTCAGCAAAACAAATGTTGATTCATTGTATGGTATTTACTTGAATTAGCTGAGGTTTTACATTTTTAGTGGATTGTTGATCCCCACCCACTCAATTTAACTATTCTTGAGAGAAGGGGTCTTTCAGTTTTGGATATGAAGGCTTAATACAATTTGCACCACCAGTGTTCAGAAGTGCAGTCAGATAGATGGCTGAGCTGGCAACCAGAAAAAGATTTATGGAAGCACATTTAAAAAAAAAAGATAAACATTTGACAACAAATGAAAAATATTAAACAGGACAATTTAATGAAAACTATCTGTCTTTTTTAGACTTACCTGCATACAGTGGTTGAAAACATCTGACATGCTTATAAGGTTATGTCTCAGAAGAAATATTTTTCATCAACTTATTTTATGTAATATCTAGAATAAAAAATGTTCATTGGTATTGTTCTTCCTGATGATAGCTAGAAGGAGAAGCATACAAATGCTAAAGTGTGCTAACTTGCTTCAGGAGAAAAATAATTGACTGGGAAATGTTGAGCTCTAGTGTTACATATCAAAAGCATGAGTAGTTCTTGGAGAAATGACTTAAAACTAAATTTGTCAGAACTGCATCCACTTCCTGGAACCATGTTCTCAGTCCACTGCTACCTTACAGAGCAGTTGTGGAGAGAAGATATTGTTTTCCCTCTTGAGCTCATGAATAGAAAACAGAAAACAAATCAGTATATTGTTGTGAGCTTACAGACTTTATCTTATACAGTACTGCTGAAAATGATGTATTTTTGTTTTCTCATAGAATATGAGTTAGAACAAGGATGTCCAGTGGATACTCAGATTTCACTTGAAGATATGACCTGGAATCACAGTAAGCTATGTGAAACCACCTGATATGTGAACTGAAATATTAATGTATAAATGAGCACTGCTAGAATAGCAAGCAAGAAGCTGGTTCCAGAGGTAGCAGCTGTTTGTTTACACCCCAGAAACTTGTATTCACAATCTTGTGACCCCTGAAACTGATGATTCCATTTAGAAATGAAGTCAATCAGAAGGTGTTAGAAATAACATTCATTGCATTGTCTAGCTTTCTTTTAAAAGCATCCGTACCAAATAACTATTACCTCATCCTGTTGTCACACGTTCCATCAGTTAAATGTTTGTGTTGTATGAAATACTTTTTAAGTAATTTAAATTTACTGTTTGTAAAAAGAAACAGTTCTTGGTAATCACATCACTGCCCTTTATTATTCTTTTCTAATCATAACAAACTGGTGCATTTTGATTGCTCTATTTTACTGTCCCAGCTTTGATACTGTTTTGGTGTACAGCAAATTGCTTTGTGTAATGATTTATTGTGTACGTGATATTTAACTGACTTGATATGTTGATACTTAGAAAGTCTTTCAATTAGTAGTTCAAAATGATTTTTGTAAATATATGCAAGTGATTGTAAACATACCTGTGGATTAAAGTATGGGTATTTTACCATGTTTTCCCTTCTAGCTATCAGGCTTTCTAGAATAGCAAAAAGCTATAACACACAAGGCATTTACAAACTCGTCTCTCAACCACAATTGAAAACGTTTTCTCTTGGGGGTATTGCCTGACTTCATTCCGTGTGGGAATATAAAATCATACCATAGGTTACTTTCTTATACAAATTGTTTATTCTTCTATCTTAAATATTTAATTCAGGTTCTGTTTAATATAAGCATTTCAGTGATATATGAGGAATCATTGAAACTGGTTTATTTTGTTTCAACAGATGATCACTGTTATTCTTTCACATGCCGATGTGGTGGAAAATATACTGTTTCCAAAAATGAAGTTGAAGATGTTTCATTAGTAAGCTGTGATACATGTTCACTAGTTATAGAAATTATTTGATGTGCCTTCCAGGAAATACATCAATGTGGCTGGTATTGTAAATAGCTGGAATAGTAAAGAATAGCTCAATCTCAAATTGTTTCATTGTTGCATTCCAAATGGTTGGATGTGTGTGAAAATTCTCAGAAGAAAAGGTATGTGATGATAGTTTTTAGGCTCTCTGTTTCATTAAAACTAAATTACAAATAATCCTGAATCATGATACATCATTTATTGAATATAAAAAAATATAAATCACATTTGAAAGGTTAAAAAAGAGATGATAACATAAATCAATTAGCCTTTACAAATCCTGTGACTGTTGGGACTCGAACGCAGAAACCCAAAATCTGTCAAAGGCCAAAGCTGTGAAATAAAACAAACAGTTACTTAACATGTTGAGCATCAGTCATCCTTTAGCTTTTCTCTATTTGAGCTGAAGTATTAATGCAGTGAATTGAACATTTTAAACAGGCTAGTAGCTCAGGTAAGACTTACATATGCTCTTCAATTAAACTACAGTGTTGGGAGAATTTCTAGAATGAAATATGTTTATTTAATAAAGTATTTGGAATTATCTGGACTGATTTGTAGTTCCAATCTCTGCCTACTGCTTCTCTGGATACACGTCATGGCAAAAATACATACTTAATGGTGATTGATCAAGATTTCAGGTGATACATTATAAGATAGTTCAGAAAATTAGAATGTTTATATTGGTTTATTTTTCTCACGTTTTTTCTGTTAAGGCTAAATATTTTAATTAAGATGGGTCCCCAACCCCTAGTCCATGGACCGGCATAGGGCTACGGCATGCCAGAAACTGGGCCGTGCAAGCAAGCAAAGCCCCATCTACAGGAACCAAACAGCATGCAACACGACGCCCCCTCCGGTCCATGGAAAAACCTTATGGGCCACTCATTTCAGATAATGTGAATATGTATGACCAATTATCATTACTTTTAAGATATATATATGTATATATGACTATTAAGGTGGATTTATTCTCTTTCTGCATGCATCAAAAAATCATTGGTATCTTTAGGCAGACACTCATCTAAACAAAATAGGTGAATTAGGAATAAATATTATGAGATACGAGTTAACCAGCAAACTACAATTGTATAAGAAACAATGCAGATCAAATATACCCAGAATGAGGCAAGAAGCTGAAATAATTTTTAAAAATATATCATTAAAGTCTTCTGTTTAGGGGGCAATGGCATAAAAGCATTTTTATAAAATGATCCATCACACTAAAAGCATATTACACCTAATATTGAAGAGAGGGAGGGCTTCTATATGGAAAAGCCTTATTCTACAGCCATTTATGTTATTTGACACTGTGAACATGTAAATATTGATCTGGAAGATTTTATACTTCGATTTCTGAAAAGCTTTTAGCAAATCCCTCACTGAGGATTTCTGAATCAACTAAGCAAACAAGGAATTAAGAGTTCAGGTCCTCTTAGGAATCAATAACTGGTTAAAGAAAAGGGTAGTCAGCATAGGAATAACTGAAGAGAAGCAAGCAATGGAGCCGCTGAAGGTGTGGAATGAGTGGTATTTTAGTACCTGTTGTGGAAGTGAAAAAACCTTCCAAGTGTGCATAAGGCAGGTTTCTATATATCACATCATATGCTGCTACCAAGGAAGACATTGTAATATTTGGGAAGCAGGAAGGAAAGCCTTATTGTGTGAATTGTTGGGTCCAAACTAGTATATTTAGCATTGTTGTATTTATTGCAAAATAAAAAATGATGGTTTAACATATTGTTTTTATAGTGAAAAGAGAAAATCAAACCAATTGTTGAGAGACGGAGAGATGGTGTGTGTGTGTGTACGTATGTGTGTGTGTACGCGCATCCATATTTTTATATAGGTAGATACGTAACTAATACTGTGTAAAGGCTTAAACACAATCTCGTTTAAGAAGATCATGTTCTTTGTAACATTTTAACACCTTGGTCCCTGTGTTTCACTAGCTAATGAACATGTCTCATTGTCATAGCTTAAGCCCAAAGACTATAACAACTGTTAAATTAACACATTTTAGATTGCAGGAATATACCTTAAAGCAAATCCGTCCTCTTATCAATCCATATGGAACAGGACCATAACACCTGGAATCTGTAGAATTCCTGAGATTATCACCTTCTAACCAAACATGTCCTTTAGGTACCTGAGAAATATTAAAATTAAAGAACAAATATGTAGGTGAAAAGCAGTGCAATTAATACAGTCTAGTTTCATACTTTATACAACTGCAGCAAATGAATAATTTTACACTTTTAGATTCAGGGGGAAGAAATCCAATAAATACTCTGTCATAGGCTCCCCAAAGCACTGCAACACAGACAAAAATCTCCAAATGGAGATGTTAGGTTGGACCGGTATGACATTCATTTCTTTAATAGACTTTAAAAGAGTTAATTTAGGATGTTGACTGAAAATCTTGCTCTACTGTCACAGTAATAGCATTAGCAGGGCAGCCACACACTCATCAACATCCTGAGGCCAGCACTAAGGCTAGACCAGTTAGTAAGCTTCTGATGAACTAAATGGTAATTGATTGTGACATCAATTACGAATAATCTCATCATTTTATCAGAGAGGACTTGTCAAAGTTCTAATTAATATCACAATTCATTCTATGTGCAAGCAGGATTCACAACACATAATATTGTATTAATGACCATCACAAACCAGCAAGTCCTTATAATTTAAAAATTAATAAGTGACCTTACAATGTGACAGAAACCTTTTAATATGGACCGCATATGAACAACATGCTAGGGATTCAGCCATAAAAAAACTCCTTTATATCAATCATACTAACACAACAGCTGTAGTAAATAGAACAGTTCCTGGACTTATATATACTGAAATAACTCCAAGCCAATTAAAACTATTGTGAAGGTAAACATTTTAGAACTCAGAGATGAACTTCTAAAATAAATGAATAAAAAAAAAAGGATTCCTCCTTGTCCCGGAGAGCAGGACCAAAATGAAAGGAAGAGGTGAAACATGGAAGGAAAATTTAGGTTGGCAAAGTGAGAAGAACTGGACTGAACAAGAGGAAAAAATGGAAAATTTGGTGGGGATGGAACAGCTAAGTGGTTTGAAACTAGAGAAAACAAGTACTAGAACCGCGATGGCAAACCTATGGCATGCGTGCTGGAAGTGGCACACAGAGCCACTTATGCCAGCACACGAGAAGTCACCAGGAAGAGCCCCACTGTGCATGCATGAGCACCCCCGCCAGCCAGCTGATTGTTGGATATCTGCCGCGCATGCATGGGGGGAGACACGTGCATGGGAGATGCGTGTGGCATGCGGGGGGTTGCATGCACATGCGTAGAGGCGTGCGGTACGGGGGTCACATGTAGAGGCGTGAGGTGCACGTGTATGCACGGGGCGGGGGGAGTTGTGCGCACATTGCATCATGGCAAGACAAGGCAGAGTGAGGAGTGGTTGTTGAGTGGTAGGCAGAACGAGAGACAAAAAGAGGTGACAAACTAGCTCTCCTGAAGGGGAGGACACAAATCCAAACTCCCTTTATCCTCTAAACAGGAATGCATGCATCTGTTAGTGCTTTGAGATAGCGATTCAGGTATTTAACTATCCCTACACTATACATTTCTCAAAAGCAAAAGGGAAGTATGATTAATATTAACTTAAGGGGCAGGCTTAAATGTGCTTTCAGATGGGAGTATATTTAAGAACTGACTCCCTGCATCCTTCTTGGAGAAAAACATCAAGTCAGTTTCAAATGCCAACTCCAACTTCATCCACAGTTCTCCCAAGGGAAAGACATCCTCCCCAATATATTGCTCCACCTTTAAAACACATTACCTTTAAAAAAAAATGAAGCGGTTTACACAAGTCTATAAAATAAAATATCTTCAAACACTAGCAATCAGCTAGAAGCCCTACTAACACATTCCTAATAGCGTGAAGAACCTTCTTGTAAAAAGCCAGATGATGTGTGTGAGAAGGGGTGGGGTTTATTATTACAAAGGCATTAGTAAATCATGAAGACAAAATACAATATCCAACATAACCAGAGAGCATTAAACATGTTGGGAAAAATGTCAGTATCTGGCAACCAGCCTCCAGGAATTAAATGGATAGCATTAGGACAATAATGGACAGGGATAAAGGATTGGCTCAGTTTTGGAGTTAACAGAACAGCTAGAGTCAAAATAATTTTATTAAAGTTTACAAATACAAAGATCAAATATTACTAGAAACAGAAAAGTATAAAAAGGTGCAAAGAGATAGAAATATATATATAAAAGATGACTCCCCCGCCCTCCAGAAAAGTATAAATCATTTCAGTGACGCCTTCTCTAATATTTCAGTTAAAAAACATCTCTTCTTCCCTTATTAATTAAATTGTAAAAATGTATATTTCAGTATTGATCTATAAAAGTTTATTGAGAGCTACCAGAAATAGTGAGATACATATTTTAACCTTCAAAGAAATCCATTTTATAATCCAATCACTTTCTTTAAGAAATAAAATAAATCTCTTCCTACTTATAAACAGATGTTTAAGACCTTGTCATTTGGTCCTGGTCCCAAAAAATTCTCATTAATGGCTATCAGAAATAACAACATACCAATACATATTTTAATCCCCGTCAAATTTCACTTTATAGTCCTGCTTAATTTTGAAAAGCTTGATCTTTAATCCTGTCAAAATCCTATATGTTGATTTCTTATCATTTTCTCTTTATCTCCCTTTAGGATCAGCTTTAGTAGTTTAACCCATCCTTTTTGTAAATCCAAGATTTTAAAAAAACTTTCCAAATAATTTTCTTGATTATTTGTATATCCTTTTTAATTATTAAGACATTGTAAATCCATCATATCATCTTTTCTGTGTCACTTTTGTAATATGGCTTTTTAAAAAGTTCAGATCCACATTCAAATCAGACTCGGCCTCTTTTTTATTCAATAGAAGCTGTTGTTCTTTTATATCCTCTATTATAGTATAAAACAAGTAATTTCTGAGTATATTGCTCCTAAATAACCTTAATTTCTTCTATAATCAAATAGTATTGTTTCATTGTATTAATGGATTGTTTCTCATTTAATTTTACTTAAGTCGCTGGTTCCCTCGAATCAACTTTCAAAGTCCCTTCTAACCATCTGTTTATTTTCCATCATCAAAACTTTCCCACAGGAGTATTTCTTATATTAATTTCAAAATCTTGAAAATATATTTTGCACTAAGCTTATGTAGTAATAAACAGCACTGTATAAACTTGTCTTATGTGTCTGATTTCATTCCTATCCATTCATCAAGGATCTACTGTTTGTAAGGTGATGTGGTCAAGTATAATACTGCTCAGATCTGGTTTCTCTCTGGATTTCTTTTTGCACCTATAGATATGGGGCAATATCTATATTGTTTGGAGCTGATCATTTGGATTGTTTGCAATGCTGGTCTCTTCTGGCTTTCATATTTTTGGAGGCCCTCCAGAAGCAGTTCTCTGGCCACCAAAATTGCCATTCTTCTGGCTCTCTGAGGCTTTCTCCTCACTCTGCTCAGCTATCGCCTCATTCAGTACCATTCATTTAGCTGCCACCCTTCTTCAGCCACTCTATGTAACATTGGGGCTGTGTAAGACAGGAAAAATAAGACTCTCCACATTCTCCTCCCAACGCCATTCTTCGTCCTGTCTAAGACTTGCAGATAGTAGTCTGCTACCACTTGGCTTATTGTGGCTCTGTGATCCAATCCTAAATCCTGAGATTCTGTGAAAAATGGTCATATGCCACTTTTTTCAGTGCTGTTGTAATTTCAAATAGTCACTAAATGAATGGTTGTAAGTCAAGGACTACCTGTACAGCTCCTTTTAAAAGAACCCACTCACTCACTCACAAGGCATAGGTGAGGGGAAGGATGCAGGTGCACATATTGGACTGCCTGGAATTTAGAGGGTTTTATTCCTAGAGAAAGGACATATTCTGTTTGCAAATTTAAAGAACTGTGATTATCACGTGATTCTTAAGAGAGAATTTTTAATTTTTTTTGCTTCAGCTCCAATTTAAATTGGATTATTTTCCAAAATAAAGGTAACAATTTATCCACATCCTATTAAATATTGACTACTAAAGGCTAATTAATCTATAGTTATCACAAACTTTTGAATAAGACCTGTTCTCAACCATAACACAATTTTCAGACTGTAAGCTTTAGAGCAAAAGAATATAAAACAACAAAAATATTCCAAAATTTATTTAATGTCTGAAGCCTGCTATTCAGAGTGTAATATGTAAATATCGTTTGATTTAGAGTAAATCAAATTAGCTATTTGAACTTTTGATGTATGTTTTAACATCTTCTGCTATTAAATACTTTTCAATCCTATGTCTACAAATGTTTTAATAAAACTGATTTAAACTTATATAAATTAAATTTATATATTAAAACCAAATAGTCATATTTTATAGAAAAGTTGTATATAGAAGAACAAGAAATACTTTTAAGTCTTGGGAACTAACTTCATCAAATGTATGTTATACAGGTGAAACTGTTAAAAAAAGACGAGTCCACCATAATTAAAGAAAATTATAATAAACTCATGATTGGAAGGAAGAGGTTAAAACAAGGTTTAAAAGAACAGATGCGATTTAAAACCTGATCATCAGTAAAATGTTGCTTTATATTTATTTATAAAATGAACAACATGCTACACATGTACTCCACATTTTTCCTTCAATCCTGTCCACTCAAATAATGTTTTATACAAGGTTCTATGTATTAAATCCAGCCATTGTCAGCAAAGTGCCAAGTTGTTCATGTCACTACCAGGAAACTACATTTGGAAACCCTCCAATAAATCATCTATTAATAACAGCAATCAGAAGATGAATCTTTAATTTTTTGTGTAGTTTCTGGTTTACAAAAGAATGACTACAACTAAATCTGCCCAATTACTTAATCTGCCCAATTACTTAATTGATTTTGGATGGCTACAATGTTCCCAATTCCCATCCAATGATCAGCCTATTATTTCATGTCAAAAACCACTCCATTTACTTTTCTAAAAAGTTCAACGCTAATGAGTAATTAGATGGTCATAAGTGAAAGGTGAACATTATACATAACTCAAGAGACTGGAAAATTTAAAAGTTAAACATCTGTCATATGAAGAAACCAGGACATAAAGATATAACTCTTAATATAGTAAGATGTTTCATATTGTCATTAAGATTGTAACTAGTGCAAAACAGTGCTGGTGCAAGATTGTTTCTGTTCATGTTTTTCTTTCCACTACAGTCTCTGTATTGTATTTCAGTTCTTTTCTGAAGGGTTCAAAAGAAACTTTGCAAAAGGCTAACTATAGGGAGAAAAATGCAGGAAATTCCTTTATGGTATATGAAATTTAATTAAAGGCATGAAAACAAAAATGCCACTACAAAACATGAAAGATTTGAAAGCAAAATTAATACTTACATAACTGTGGGTCTTTATAAAATCTGAGGGATTGCTTGTACAGACTTTTTCTCCTTCCAGGCCCATTACTCTTTTACAAATATTTGTTTTGGGGTCAGCTGGATTTGTTGCAATGACAATATCACCTCTACGGAAAGTCCATAAAGAAAAGTCAGCATCTAGCAACTTGTTAAGTGAAAAACACAATTTAAAATCCACCCCAAATCAGGTATGTGGTTATTCTAATGAGGTCCACATCCTTCAGGTACTTCAGATTATTTTGCTTTTAGTCTATAGAATAAGAGAATTCCAGTGCTGCAGTATTAGAGGACAGATGGGAAGGTAGTTGTTTTTACCTGCCAACCAAAAAACTAGATCAACGGTCCCCAATCTTTGCGGCTTGACAGCCTGGCTTCGGGGAGTGGGGGGGGGAGGCCAGCATGTGCCTGCCCACAGATCAACTCGTAGCTCTGGCCAGCCAATCATGTAGCCCCATTCCAAATAGACCCTGGCCCAGTAGTGGGTCGTGACCTGGGGGTTGGGGACCTGTACTAGATAAAATTTTTGATTCCATGAGCATATGGAGACTTTGGCAAGAAGAAACTTACTTAAAATGCAAACAAATCTCCAGTGACTTCTAGGACATCGGCTTATACCTGGAAACATAACTATTTCATTTTCATAATTACTTTTAAGTCTTGTGATTCACCACAAGCTATGTTTGAATTGTTGTCCAACAGCAATAAGCATCTGATTGTAAATGTTTGGCTTAATGCATGCAATCCAGATTTTTATCATAGTGTTCAGCATTATGCACACATTCAGTACTCCATAAACTACTAATAAAATAGTATTTGGATAACATAAAAATGGTATTTACATTTCTGGCGATAACTGCATCCTGATGATAATCTCTAGCTATCCATTACAAAGTAAGACAAGATAACCTTTAAATAAGCACGATGAAAGTATGGTGAAGAAAGCTTCCATCAACCATAAAATGTTAACTCTTTTTATTTTTGTAGAATGACGATCTGAAAGTGTATGAATAATACTAATACAGAAAATGATAAAGGTAGCAACAAGTTCCTTAGCAAAAAGCATACAAAGCATTCAGGTAAACTATAAAAAAATAGAGCAACGTACTTCTGAATACGATAAAAGTGGCTGCTAAGATTTTCTGAAAATACAATATCAGAATTTTGAATTGTAGGCTCCATTGAAGGTCCTGTACACTAAAGAAAGAAACGAAGAAAGTAAGTTTTCCAAATTATTTCAAAGACTCCAAAATATACTTGTTAGTAGCTAACAAAAAAACAATCACATTAATTTAAACTAATGTTACTAACAATATACAATGGTACTTTGACTGCTTTTAAACTCATCAAATTTGGTACTTAATGCATTTTGATACAAAAAAAACTATCCTGGTACTTGTTTGTTTGGTACTCAATGTGCAAGCTAAAACTTGTGTCAGTTGCCTCATGGCCAATACATTATTCTTTATCGGAAAATGTGTTTGGTACTCATTTTTCGTACTTGTGCCTCCCAGAACCAATTAACAAGTACCAAGGTACCACTGTAATGCAAAAGCTTATAGGGCTTGTATTTTTAAGTATACAAGTTAGATATTAGTATTTATGGATTCTGATTCCAAAGTTCTTGGACTTTTACTAGAGAAGTGGCTAGTTTACAACCTCTGAAATGAGCTTTGACAGCTCTACAAGAAAACTGTTCTCTAACCTACATATTACTTCAACACGAATCCATGATCATTAACCCTTTTACTTCTTCCTCTCACCACTTACATCTCTCAAGTGAGTGAGAGATATCAAGGAACTGCCAAACAAGCTAACAGTAAACAGCCCAATCAAAGAACCACCAAGACCACTCCCACCAACATCGATAGGGCAGGTATCAAACTTGATCACAACGCTGGCTGTATTGTGATGTAACATGTTTTTTGCCTTCATAGAGCCAGGGTGGGCGTGGTCTCCGTAGGCTGGATACAGCCTGCGAGCCGCCAGTTTGACAGGCCTGTGCTAGAACATAAAATGAGAGCAAATCTCAGTCCCTACTTGCAACTGATGATGTTACCTAGTTCTGGTAACGAAATGTCTGCAAGAATACAAGCTAAGAGAGTACCCAAGACCCTTCATTTCAACTAGCATGAGAAATATTCTCCTCTATTGGTTCTTTGGGGATATTTTTTCAACTTCCCATATAGCTAAGTCTTCATACTAAGCTAGTTTTTCATTTCACTATTAAGCAGGCCTAATCTATTAGTTTCTGAGCTGAGGCCATATCAGAAAGATGCTGCCATCTGCTGAGATTATTGATACAAAGATGTTAATGTTAGAGTAACACATTGAAAGCTAACATATACTTGTTTTCATCAAAATTAGCTTCTTTTAACTTACCATCACAATTCCTCCAAGATATTCAAAAACACAATGGGCTATGCACCCATACTGAATAGTATACCCCAGAAGTCGGAAAGTCTTTCCAATTACATCTTGCAACATAACAGTATAATAGGTGTGCAGTTGATCCTAGTTTAAAGAAAAGCACACTAATTATTCATTTTTGTGGCGATATATCATATATATTATTCAAGCAACACTTAAGATATGACTATTATAAATTACTGTATATTCAATCACAATGCAATAGGTTGGTCTAGACTCCAGAGGTTAAGGCATCAACCTAGAAACTCTGAGTTCTAGGCCTGCCTTACCCATGAAAACCAGCTGGGTGACTTGGTGTCAGTCACTCTCTGTCAGGCCAGGCTATTGCACAGGGTTGTTGTGAGAAAAATAGGAGGACAAAAGAATATTAGGTGTGTTCCCTTTTTATTTATTTATAAATGTGAGATAAAAATAAATAAATAAAATGGAAATATATATATAAAGAGGAATGCCATTACTACTATTTTTACAATAGTAGACAAATTTGCCTAAATAAAAATGTGTTTACTGGAGAAAAATCAACAAGAAAGTGTCTGCTAGTATTTCATATAGCAAAGTACTTATAATACTGATAATAGATCAGGGGTGTATATATCTTATCACCTTCAACTTTCAACCATTCTTTAAAGTTAATGTTATGTAAAGTTTTTTTAAAGTAACTCAGTCTTGACATAACTAAGGTATGTGGAGTGGGAATGGATATGTTTAAAACACAACTGCCATCACTGGGCATTTGTGAACACTGTTACTGAACATTTTCACTGCACAGGATATTTCTAAGCACATTTTTATCTAGTGGTGCAGGGGAATGACCAGAATAAATGTATAAAATTCTATTTAAATATCTATAAGAGCAAAGAAAATCTAACACTAGATATAAACAAGGGCCAACATAGTTATTTCAGTCTTAAGTGATCAAATAATATTTTAACTACTCTACTCCTAATCTATTTTATGAAGGAGTCTTTAGAATGAAGATGTCATCATACACTGTTTTATCATGTTGGTTCTTCTTTTATTACTATGCATTTTTAACTTTTGTTTTATGCCCTTTGAGTAGCTCTGTGACTATGTGAATGTTCCTTAAAAATTAATTTAGTACATCTAGTTTTAAATTCAACTATTTTTCTTTTGGCTTATAGGTAGTATTTTCTCATATTAAAGTATGATTCCATCAAATGACTAGAATATTTTTTCATCATGGTATGATATAGTACTAATTATATTCATAGTTTATTCAGTAATTACATCAAACCAGGATAAGTATGAATGAAACCTTTAGTGTGAAATGACTAACATATTCAGTTTAAACAATTTTTTTCAGAATAAGAGAAAAATTGTCAGATCAATTATTAACACAGGATAGTTGGAATGAAACACTATAAAGTTAACTATTGGCAGATATAATGTTACAGTTTTCCTTTAATTGATTTATTTACTTATTTATTTTTCTCCTTTGTATGGATACCCCTTGGCTTGTGTGTTCTGTTAAGGTTGGCAGCTATGCTGGAGGTATACCACAAGATAGTATACCAGAAGGGTCACCCAAGCTAGACAGGTCTCAACTGGACAGCCAGACCAAGAGTATCCACAAACTCATTAGCATAATGAGACAACAAAAAAAGGGCGTTGGTACTTACCTGACATGCCCGTTCTCTTTGAGCTGCAAAGAGCATCCAGTAGTGGGAGGTGCTTCAGTCTCTGCTTGCCTAGGCTGGGCTTAATTTGCGGAACGCTCCTCCTCCTCCACAGGACTCCTCCCCAGCGTTCCCCAGTTTTGGCGAAGACGAGAGAAACAAACACCCTCGCCCTTAATACGCTAAAATTCGTTGGCCGAAACAGGATCCCACCAGACGGAAAGAGGGTGGGGCTGGATGCTCTTTGCAGCTCAAAGAGAACGGGCATGTCAGGTAAGTACCAACGCCCTTTCTCCCATGAGCTTCTCAGACCATCCAGTAGTGGGACATACCAAAACTTGGCCTGTCCTACGGGAGGGACTCTGTCTGTCTTGGACACTCATGGTCCCTGTGGACCCATCACAGAACCCTTCTGCCAAAGGACGCCTCAGCTGATGCAAACACATCTATTTTATAATGCCTAATGAAAGGCAATGGAGAGGCCCAGGTTGCGGCTCGACAGATGTCAGTGATTGGTGCCTGCATGGCCCATGCTGCCGATGTTGCGGTGCTCCTTGTTGAATGAGCTGTTATGCCCCTGGGCACCTGTAGTGATTGAGTCTGATACGTTTTCACTATTGTGGCCCATAGCCAACAGCCTATTGTGGAGGATGTGACCTTGCATCCCTGAGTGTTGGGCTGAAAGGACACAAATAAAGCTTCCATTTTTCTGAAAGATGCTGTGCGGTGAATATGTATCTGCAATGCTCGCCTCACATCCAGCCGATGCCACTGTCGTTCCAACCCTTGGGATGGTCTGGGACAAAAATTAGGAAATATCAGTTCTTGTGCCCTGTGAAAGGCTGAATTAACTTTGGGTATGAACATAGGATCAGGACGAAGGACAACCCGGTCGGAATGGAAGACGCAAAGATCTTGTCTGATCGACAAGGCTGCCAGTTCCGAAATACAATGAGCAGAGGTGATTGCTACGAGAAAAACTACTTTATACGTCAGAAATTGGAGACTTGACGATTGCAAAGGTTCGAAAGGGCACTTAGTGAGTGCAAGAAGGACCCTGTTAAGGTCCCAAGTGGGATAACGGTGAACTGTTGGCGGGTGTAAGTTTGTGGCTCCTCGAAGGAAACACTGTATGCGTGGATAGGAGACCTTCATAAGTGACGACTGACACCAAGGCCGCCACTTGTCTTTTCAACATATTAGTTGATAATCCCCTGTCAAACCCCTCTTGTAAGAACTCTAGGATTTGAGCCACAGATGGAGAAGTGGGATCAATTTGAGACTTGGTATACCATTTGCAGAAACTGGACCACGTGGCATTGTAGATGCGAGTTGTTGAGGGGCATCTGGCAGCTTGGATGGTGGCGATAACTCTGTTGGAAAACTTTTCGCTCTTCAGATGACTCCGCTTAACCTCCAGACGGTCAGGTGCAACCATTGAGGGTCCAGATGTTGAAGGGGTCCCTGGGTTAACAAGACCCTGTCTGGCGGAATTCTCCAAGGTGGTGATACAGATAGACTGCGGAGGTCTGCAAACCACGGCCGTCTGGGCTAGTAGGGAGCTACCAGAAGCAGCTCCACCCTATCGTCAAGCAGCTTCTGGACGACCTTGGGGATCAGTGGAAGTGGTGGGAATGCGTACAGAAGTCCCGGGGGCCAATGGCAATGGAGAGCATTGAAATTCTCCGCTCCTTGCGAGGGGTATCTGGAAAGAAATCTCGGGAGCTGAGCGTTGAGGGAGAAGCAAACAGGTCTACCACTGGCTTCCCAAATGTCCTGACTGGCTCTTGAAAGAGGGTCGGATGGAGGTGCCACTCCGTTTGATCTATCATGGCTCTGCTTAGCCAATCTGCCTGTGTATTTGACAGTCCTGAAATGTGTTCTGCTCTGATGGAAATCAGGTTAGTTCCCCCGTTTATTTGTGTGAGCTTTCATAGTTACATTGTCGGTCAATATTAATATGTGTTGATTGCGTCCTGTGGAAGGAAGCTGCGGAGAGCCAGGTGTACTGCTCGAAGCTCCAGCCAGTTTATGCTGCACGACTGTTCAATGGAGGACCAGCGGCCTTGGGCTATGATTGATTGAAAGTGAGCTCCCCATCCAAACAGGCTGGCATCGGTGGTGATGGTAAGTCTGTGGGGCTCTTTGAATAGACAACCTTTGTTTTTGGCTGGTCTGGTCCACCAGAGGAGAGATATGAGGACCTGTGATGGAATCTTGACCTTGTATTTGGATTTGCTTCGTCCGGATCGCTGGTACGGGAGCAGGAACCACTGGAGGGATCTAGTGTGGAGCCGGACCCAAGGAATAATAGATATACATGAGATCATCTTGCGTAACAATTTTGATAGATCAGCTAGGGACACCCTCTTATGAACCCTGATCTCAACTAATTGATGAATGCTGTTTTGTCTATCTGGTGACAGGAAAACTTTGCCTTCCACTGTATCTATGACTGCCCCCAGATGGATTAATCAAGTCAAAGGTGTTAAATGACTCTTTTCCCAGTTGATTGAGAACCTGTGTAGTTGTAGGGATTGTAATGTAGTCTGAGTATCTATTACTGCTTGATGAACAGAAGATGACAAAATTAAGATATCATCGAGGTTATACTGCAGTTGTATGGGAACACGCTGGAGATGAGCAGTGAGGGCTGTGAGAACCTTTGTGAAGGTCCTGGGGTCAGATGCTAGTCCGAAAGGAAAAGCCACATATTCAAAATGGAGTTTATTATAACAGAATCGTAAAAAATTATAGTGGGAAGGCCGAATGGGAATATGTAAGTACACCTCCGTCAGATCTATGGATGTAAGGACATCACCTTTTCTGATACCAAGTAAGATAGATTGCAGGGTGTGCATTTTAAATTTGTGATATACTAAAAATTGATTTAAGACGTTTCAAATCCAAGATTGCTCTCCACCCCCCTGAACTTTTGGGAACAACGAAAAGATGTGAATAGAGACCTCGCCCTCATTGGTCAGTAGCTACTGGTTGTATGGCTCATATGTCCAGTAGGTGCTGAATACTGTTTCTATAAGATTTGTTTAACCGGATCTCTGGAAAGAGGGCATGACATAAAGAAGTCTGGGGGAGCGGATTGAAACTCCAGCGCGAGGCCGAATCTGATTGTGTCTCTGACCCAGGAATCAGATGTTGAGGAGTCCCATTGGTCCACGAATAATTTAAGGCGGCCGCCAATGGGAGCCGGGTCCATGGGGTTATCTTGGATGCTGGAAAGACCTATTTCCCACTCCTCGGAAGGATCTCTTGGATTGGCCACCCCTTCAGTTCCTATCCCCAAAGTCTGACCTCTCTGGCTGTTGCCCTGGTGGGAAAGGTGGGGGTCTCTGGTATCTGGTTGAGAATGGACCCTGATAAAAGGGCCGAAAGGATCCCCTCTGAAAGGACTGAGGGTTTCTAGGGTCTGACTTCCAAAAAAGGGAA